AGATCCTGTTGAGCTGAAAGCATCTAATTGATGTAAGAGTTCTTTGACCTGTTCTTTATTCTGTTCCTGTCCCCTGTTGTGTTTTAATAATTGTATTAAAAAGAATTAACCTTTTATGGGAAAACTGGAACAGAATAGGCATTTAATATTCTGTATCTTCTGCTCACCTTTCTCATTAAGTCATTTTGTACGAGTTGAACAGTAGCATATTTTAAATTCTTCCTTAAATTAAATGGATACAGACTTTCATGTAGACAAAGTTTGTATTCTACAGGGCAATGGAAACTTTCTTCTAAACATTCGGGTTCAGAAATAACCACTGCACAATAAATTGCAGTAGCATTCAGTAGAACATGGAAACCTTTGCTGACATTAAACTGTACAACACCAAATATAGTCAGTAAGACAAAAATCTATCAAACCTATGAGTTTTTCCACACTACAGGCCTGTATGGAAAAGAGTGACACATTAAAACCATCCACATTAAGTCTGTATATATGCCCAGCATGTCTCAATTAATATCAGCAAGTCTAGGGTCATGAATATAATTTAAGGAGATAATTCTTAACTAAAAATCATTTATACCATTTAATAAAACACTAGCATTTATTTTTGTGTTAAGACTGCAGTTTTACCAACAGTGATGAATAATACTGAAGGCAAAAACTAGAAGCTCTGGGGTTTTTTTAAATTAGGCCACTGAATCACCTGTAAACAATGCAGCAATCCTTTCATAGTGGCTTCTGCGTGAAAACTACTGTTGTTGATTAAGCAGAAATACTTCTCAATGGCTACTTTTCCATCTCTTCATTAAAATAATGAAGTGTGAGCTGCTAAAAACCTTTGCTGGATACCAGCTATTGCCTCCTGATAATCATCATGCATCTCTTTTATAGTGCGTAAGACAGATCCATAACATTACTATCATTACTCTCAGAAGCAGACCTGGCGCTCTGTGTATTTATATATCAAGTACTGAAATCTCAGACTTTGCTAGGACCCCATTTCAGGTGATACCACCTCCATTCACAGTTCCACACTGACAACTCAATAATCTGCCTTGGTTTTTACCACATATGACTGTAGGGAATATCTTGAGTTAGATGTTTAAATTTGTTTTCCTTAGTGCTGTTATTTTGCATGTATAACCACATTCTCCTGTATCTAATATACACCTCTTAAATGGAGGATGGAAGACGGAGTATTTCGTTATTAGCAACAGATAACAAAAATGTATGATCATAAAAAGTCCATCTTCAACACAAAATGAATCCTTAATTTTGATGGAGAAAAAGTCCTTGCCTATACTTATTACAAGTTGTTTTCAGGAAGCAACCTTCACAAATAACTATTTCCCAGGCTTTCTTTTGCAGGAATCTGGTTGTTATCCATCAAAAATCAACATGGATCTACTCATCTACAGATTCAAAACTATTTCAGTGTGTGTTTTGCCTACTGAAGACTCAAAGATGATGTGTCAAAAGATACCACAGGACATTACACTTTGGCTGAAAGAACAATTAAACATCTTTCCTCTAGTCTTGCAAAGGAGGAAAGGCTCAAAGCTCTGCATTTCACTTCTGCTTAACCTCATAGCTGTGAAGTAAAATATTTAGTGATTTTAAAACACCTTTAGGACAACCTTTGTAACCTCCCTGTTTAAATTAATACAAGGGGTCGAAAGAGGAATATTTCCTATGTGGCCAGAAAGAGGTATAAGTCATGGTGAGAGGTGACTTCCCATTGAGCAATGAAATGTCCTTATCTCCCTAGAACACAATCTTATCAGAGGAATTATTAGTGTTCGTACTATACTGTTTGAAACACATCAGTGCCATGGAAAGAACTAGTGTAACAATTTCCCAGATTACACAGTGGAGCAATTAGCCCTAAAGAAGATCAGTAATATCAATGGTTTGAGCTCAAGGATAAATAAAACCTGATATTGGTAACAAGTTAATTGCGTTTCAAGCTGCTCATACCAGTGATAAAAATTTGATAAGGCTGAAGATTTCAAAGCCTTATTGGGGTTTTGTTTGTTATGACTAAACTAGAGGTCTAAGCTTAGACCATAACTCAATTAGGCTGAGAGATATATATGAACAAGAAAATAAAACCAAGGAATTTAATCTTATGAAGTGTGATCTTAACTCTGCTACAGTGACAACCCAATGTGTCATTCTGCAAGTATAAGATCAACGGCAGGAAGCTGTTCTGCTTTGCCAGTTTAATTTAATAGAAGTTTTTCAGTGTAAACCAGAGTTTCTTTAGAAGATAACAGAGGCCAAGATCTGACCTCAACAAAGCTTGATTCTGTACCTTGGTGATCATCAGCACCTGACAGGAGATTGTTCGATGTTTTGTGACTGTAAGAAATCCTGTAAATATATTAAACGTGGGGTTTTTGTTTTGCTTTCTCAAAGCTATACTGAATTACATGTACATTATTGAATGATCAAGCCACTAAAAAGAAATATAGGTGTAACCAACAGAGGCAATTAAATGCTTCCTTTAACAGTATATTGACATCAACATTTTCTCTCAGAATTGCTCGGCATTACGGAAAGCTTCCTAAACAAATATGCTTAGAATATAAGTGCTTGACTTTTTGCATAGTTAAGTAAAAGTGGTAAAATCTCATTTACACTTGAACTCCTATATAATTTCCAACAGTTTGATATGGTTCCTGGCAGCAGTGTGTTAACAGAGAGAGGCATGTTATGAGTTACATGGAGTAAAAACAATTATTTTAACGTTGGATTTTTCTCATTTAAATGATCGCTGGATTCAAGGTGACTTAATCATGTGCTCAATCCATGGTAGTTGAGAAGTGAAATTTAATGACTCCTGAGAAACTAAACATAATCTTATTGTGGTAACATGGAATCAGTCACTTACGGAAACATCTCTCATTTCAACCGTAATTCCCCTCAGAGTTCTCTTTTTTGCACAAAACTCTGCTTGCTATCTGGAATTGCTCTTCCACTGTTTCTCTGTCGCTCTTGCTGACTAGAATATCAGTTACATCTGTATGGGGTTGTAGTACTTGCACACACATATTCACCCCATCTCTCACTTATGTTTTCCCATTTACTGATTAACTCTAGGAAGGAAATTTTCAGAGGCATCCCTGGAGATCACATGCCTGACTTCCACTGATTTCCAGAACTATCTTTCCCCTGCATAGAAATTGCCTAGCTAACAACTGCACATTTAAAAAAAACTTTGCCCATTACCACAAATGGCTTTGCAGAATCTCTGTTTTCACAGTCCTAGTAATCATATGTGTCACTACAACCTTTATGTGTATTTTTTTAGTAGACAGATGCGTTATAGAATTGTGTGCATGCATCTAGCTTTGAGAATTTGGTAAACATGAAAATCACTACCATTCTCTTTCCTACATGCAAGTCCCTAATAAAAGATATTTTCCAATTAATATTCTTACATACACTTGTCTTTTTTTTTTTTTTTTTTTTTTTTTTTTTTGTTAAATTACCTTCTAATTTAATCTAAGTACATTCCCAAGAAATTATTTCAGTGTTAGTTTAGAAGCCTCCTGGTAATACTCATGGTAAAAGAAAAAAAAAAAAACCAAAACAGCAGCAACAAGGTTCCTATAGTGCCATATTTCCTAAATATGAAAAAGGCTAATTAAAAATCTACCCCATTTCAAAGGAAGAAAAGTACCTTGTTATGATTCAGTTTACCTAACCTCTGTGTAAACAATTATAAAATGCAAGTATTTGTCCATTTATGTGTAAATCAATCACCATTTTTCTTTTCAAAATAAATAAGTCTGGAATTCAGCTTCAGCAACAGTCCTTGGACTTGCTGAGAGTGACTATCTGACCAGACCAGCAGACAAAGTGCCAGGAGCATCAGAGATCTGGAGATCATCTGCTGCCAAATTGAAAACAGTTTCCACAATATTCTTAGTCCACAAATACTGGTAAGAGTTGGAAGTTTTTCAACACAGAATTTCTTTATTTATTTATTTCCAGGCTACAACTTGTGCTTTAAATATGTAACACTGGGGTACCTTCTAGTAACTTACACATTGTACTGTTTAATGTCACTAAGGCTTTGTAGATACAGGGGAGCAATATTTCAAAACAGGTGGTCTGACCTTTAGATTCTTTCTGGGGATTCCAGTCATATTTGTCTCAGACAGAAATTGTATTTTGTTCTGGATTTTATTTGACAATGGAAGGTTAGGCAAATACAAACAGCCAGAGGAACAATCGCTTGTTCACGTAAAGATACAAGTGTTGAACGTCCCAGATGTACTGTAGGCACCTTCCTAATATTTCCACACATGCTAACTTGTAGTTTGTCTCTTATCTGTTTAAGTTTCCATGTTTGCAAAATGAGATTGTTGCTGCTTTGTACCTGTGTTTTCCTGTTGGTGAAAATAGATAAATATGTGGCCCTAAAATTTATAAATAGACCATAGGGCAGGTTGTCTCACTCTAACGCTGCATATGATTTGTAATGGTTTTAATCACAAAGACAGTGGAAGGCCACTTCACTTCATAAAAAAACACAATTGAAAGAAAAGATTTGCTACACTTAGGTCCTTCCACAGTCCCAGAGAAGTGCCTTATGGAAATGTATGCTAGGTTGTTTTAATTAATTATGTGAGTAATCACTTTGCAGGAACAGAGACAGAAACCTTAGCATCCTTTGAGTACAAGTTCTGATCCTACTCAGTGAAGCTACAACTTTCAAGCAGCAGCTTGTATTTCAGAGTCACCTGCAAATGCAGATGTAAACTAAAACTGATGAATCCCAGTAGTAAAAGAAGGATGAAAGGACTTGCAGCAAGATGAAAGAGAAAGAACAGGAGACAGATCAATAAACCAAGTACTTTAATTGGACTGAGCTATTTGCAGGGAATATTCCAGAGGAATGAAACGTTATTAGTTATTAACCAACACATTTACCAAGCCATTATTTGTCTGGATAGGAAGCATTTAAAAAAATGATACCTACTTACATTTTCTGCTGAGACTGGTCATGAGGAGAGGTCCTTGCTTTCTAAGAAAAAGTGGACCAAAACTTATCTCCTGATCTTGTGCACCTAGTGATAAAGATTACATATTTATTGTTGGTCAGAAATAAGTTAATGCTTTAGGACTTAGAGACTACTCATAAAACTTTAATACACTTGCTGTATTGAGATTGACCCCGGAAGAATCTAATCTTAGAAAGCTTCCTACCATGTCTTACTCATTCCCTTAAAATATATACTTGAATTTTCACTTGAAAAAAAAAAAATATATACACCTATTGCAGTTATGCTCCACATATTTTACACAGTCTCTCTCCAAAACCAAAGAATTCTTTAAGGGATTAAAAGAAAAAAAAAAAAAAGTTATGTTGTTTTGCTAGAAACAGGACCAACCCATGGTGAGAGGAAGTAAGAACTAAGAAAAACCACCAAGAAGTAGGATTTATACAAGCCTATTTATGAAAGTTTTTCAAGAATATACAAAGAATTTAAGGAAGGTCAAATACAGACTGAACATCAAGAAATGTTCCTGGCAGTGAAAATGCAGGCTAAACAGCCACAATTATTCTTGACAGCAAAATTTTGCAGTTGGTGAATCAACCTTCCAAAGTAAGTGCTTGGTGACCTCTTCAGCTGGAGCCCTGAGAACTAAATGAAGCAAGATGTGACATACAAAATTTTCAGAACCTTGGGGTTTACATTACCTGTGCAGGTGCAAATTGGCAGGAACTTCTCTGGATGACAAAAGAAAACCTGTTTATTCTTGCTTTGCTAGTTTATGGTCAGACACATCTGAAACTACTGGCGTTACATAAAGTACTTGTCTAGATTACTTTTTTTCTTAACATTCATTTCTATTATGGAAAAACTTTTATTTCCAATTACTGTAAAATCCATATAAACACTGTATAAAAGGCATTTATAAAAGTAAAAAATTAGATTTTCTAACAAAGCTGAGTAAAGCAGTATGCATTTCTCTATAATTAAAATTTTACAAAAGTCACTACCTTTATACAAATCTCATCAGAATAGGCATCTTGTTTGCACCTAGCTGTGAGACAGAAAGCATCTGCAGTAAAAGCAAAATTAAAAGCATCCTTTAAAAGAGAGCCTACTGTATCTTTTCTTCTATTTCACCTCAGATATTGTTATTATAATGGCTTCTAGCAATACCTAACCAATGTAGAATAAAAAACTCAGATTTAAAATACAACATGTAAATCTTAAAGGTAGTATTTAAAAAAAAAAAAAAAAAAAAAAAAAAAAAAAAAAAA